GATAGATAGATAGATAGATAGATAGATAGATAGATAGATAGATAGATGATGGATAGATGGATAGATAGATGATAGATAGATAGATAGATGATAGATAGATGATAGATGATAGATAGATAGATAGATAGATAGATAGATAGATAGATAGATAGATAGATAGATAGAAAAGGCTTTATGACCAATATGTCCTCCACAGTGTAAGAGTGAAGTCTTCACTGACTAAACCTGTCAGGTAGATTTTCTCCAGTCCCAGTCACTGCTCCATTTCCCAGAGGACCATGAAGCAGCTGCTAAGATGCTATTCCTTCCACTTCTGTTGTCTACTATCTGTCTCTGTCTCCATCGACAACAAACTAACTGTGAATCGTATCTGCGGGACACAAGGCAATTCAGCACTGCCAGTCTGGGAAAGCATTTTGTGTTAGAGTAAACACAACAGGAAGAGAATGCGGATTTAGCTCTTCATTAATAATCCATCAGAAGGTATAGCCAAACAGATACAGAAAACTGGATCAACCAGCCTCGTCTAGAATGTTCTCAGTACAAGGGAGTGTTTTTATACCTCATTTGAATTTGGGGCACGATCTTCCTAGGTTTCTGTCCTGACTCTACAAGGTCAGCTAACTTTTCACATTTGCCTTCTCAACCTGCTATAGCTAATAAGGACAATTTATGAAAAGGTATTAATATTAATTAGAAGTGTCATAGAGTAAGCCCTTAAACATATTTGGGCTCTTTCCTTGAACGTGAGCAAGAGAAATGAAATAATAATAACAATAACAGTAATAATAGTATCTTCACAGTGTGAGTGCTCTTCAGTTAGACCCTGTTCTAAGAGCTTTGCCACTTTAACTTCTAAGTCTTTCAATAAGACAGACCAGTGTTTCCATCCCCACATGACAGGGCTCAACCCAGGCCATCTGCCAACGAAGCACACTCACCCAGCAGACAGCAGTGTGGCCATGATTGTGGGCATTAGCTCATAAAGCCTTTCAGCTTTGTATTCTGAAGCCTGACCCAAAGGCTTTTATCCCCTTATTACTGTGCAATGACTTCCTAGAAAACATTCACTTTTGCAATATGGTACAAGGTTTTTCCTGTCGTTTAGGATGATTCACCTTCCTAAAAGAGCCTGGTAGTTGAATGCTAGTTTTCCCCACCTAAACTGCCCTTGAGAATCCCCACACACACGTCACACGGTTCTTTGTGCTCTGAGAATAAGTACCATAAATAGACACTGGAGTTATAATGCACAGGGATAGACTTGATTTCATTGACTAGGTATGGGGAAATAAGAAGGTGTTTGGGCATTCCGAAAGAAGCCCAGGGCATGGTGAGATGGCTCAGATGGTAAAGGCACTTACTGACTGGCCTGGGAACTGAAAACGGAGTTCAACCCCCAAAAGTGCATATGGTGGAAGAGGAGAACTAACTCCCCAGGTTATCCTCTGATCTTCATATGTGGTGGGGGGTAGACATGCACACACACACACACACAGAGACACACAAACACACACACACACACACACACACACACACACACACACACTGGGTGAATGGATGGATGGATGGATGGATGGATGGATGAATGAATATTTTTATAAAACCAAAGTTCGGAACTGGTTCTGGGGAAGCTCGTGTGTCTCTGTTCTGGAAGTCTATAATCAGCCTTTCTTCCCAAGCTGCCCACATGTGGAAGAGAAAAGGGAAGTGCCCCGTGTCTGCTTGCTTGTGACCATTTCATTTCTTCCACAGGTGGATCCTGGAGACATTATTGTCTACAGAACTAGACAGACCTCAGGGCTTCTGGCTTCCGCTCTGTCTGGTGCTGGTCCTCTTCTTTGTGGCTTTTTTCCGTCAAACTTCAGGCCTGTGGCTCTTCCCTCTGTGCTTAGTAAGCTTCCCACTGCAGGGAGAGGGGTCTGTCTGCAGGGAGAGGGGTCTGTCTTCTAATCCACCAAGTCTTCAGGACTCTGGTTTAGCTGTCCTTTTTCCAGCTGTGTGTCTCAGATAACCCTCACTTCAGAATTACCCCTTTCTTAATGGGTTTTCTACACCACAAAAGAATCTTTCTACTTTAGAACTCGGTCCCTCATCATCTTACGTAAATTTTTTGTGTATAGCTCTGTGTCAGCAGAGAGATTACCTAATTGGTTCAGTGAAGGTCATGTTAATTTCTGAACAGTCCTCCCAGAAGACGCTGTCACTGAATTTTGGGTTCTTTGATTGCGTTCTTATATAGCAGGCTAGAAGTATTTTGGGGTCTCCATTTTGACTTGTGATCCTACCCCAAAGATTAAGCCAGCCAATGAGCTCTTTTCACAGTGACTGTATGGCAGCACAAACTCAGAGCCAGGAGGGAAGTTCAGTCATGAGCATTTCAAAGTTTATTCAACTGAAGAATGCATCCCACCAGAAAAGCATGACTGTGATTTCTTTTATTATCCAGCACATGAATAGGAATTACTGTAGTGATTAATTAGTGGCAGGAATCATTTATTTTTAGAAAGGCACAATGAAAACATTATAGAATCCCATTCAGGCATTCTTTACACATACACTCTCCTAATAACTTGATGGTGCTTTAGAGTTGATGGATTTCTTCATGGCTTACTCTTCATATTTACACAGAAGTTAGGCGCATCGCCAGTTCACAAAGAAGAAAGCCGAGGTCTAGCGAAGAAATGGTTGGCGATTGGGTGCTACGTCTCATTCTCAAACCCAGGACCCCTCACTCCATCGCAAATTCTCTGCTTCCATACATTGTTAATGGGCGCAAGAACCTCCCAGATGGAGTCTTCCAGGGGAACAAGTTCCTCTCTGGAGCTGTCACTGCCCCGTGTGCTGCCCCAGTCACCCTTGAACAAAGGCTTCTTGGGGTCCTCAGCGCTGAAGAATCGTGGCTCCAGCAGGATCCAGTGTCCAGAAACTTCCAGACCTCTCAAGCCACTCCAAAGCCTCGCTTTCAATATCTTAACTGCTTTCTCTGCCTTCAGAAATACCCTAGGTTCTGTCTGTTCACCTCCTCCCCATCACCTTGGTCCTGCCTGAGAAAGTGCCTTACAGATTCTAGATGAAATGAGTTAGATAACCGGATTCACAGGAGGAGCTGCTCTAAACGAACTGAACCCTCATCTATTTCAGTTGGGCTTCATGACTACATGCCTTCCCAGTGCTTCTAACCCAGCTCGGCACGTGCAAGGGGGTCCATACACACTGCTGCAACAAGTTATAGAAGAGGAAGTAACAGCGAGCATACTACTGAGAGTGATGGAAATCTAGAACAGGAACTATCGGCAGGCCTTCTCTCTGAGGTAGTGAGAGGGGCTGGAATTGGGAAACAGACACTGCCGCATGCATTCTGGACTATATGGCTTTGTGTCAACTGAACCCAAACTGAAGCCTTTGCTTATCCGTTCTACTTGAAAATGCCACCCACCGTAGAGCACAAAGGTACTATGACTGTTTTTATCATGTATCTGTGGATTATTGTAATAAAATTCAAGCACTACATGCTTGGCAAATGGGTTTTGACTTCATGGCATCTGGGCTGCATAAGCAAAGGAATCAAAGTCCCTGGCAAGAGGCTTCCCCTCCCTTCTAACTGTAGCCTAGGACGACCTAGGTAAAAATAACAGAAACCCACAGCGCGTAATTAGCAGGGAAGCCCATTCCCCCTCCACTCAATACTGTCTTTCCGAGTGACTTCTCGATCCACTCTTGATCAATTCTCTCCTGAAATCGTTCCCGGAGCACAGGGAGACTACCGACTGACCACACCACGTGTCCTTTGGTCAGCTGAGTCTCAGGTCCTCAGATGCTGGGTAGCACTACCCAGAGCAGGGGGTGCAGGGAGAGTCAGGGCGGTCTACTCCAAAAGGCACCTGTGTGACAATGGGCTTGTCTGGTCTCTGCTATGAAAGGCAAAGACTACTGGACTAGAGCCGACATGCTTGGACATGATTGCAGCAACGTTCACTGCCCGTATTCAAGCTTCCGTTGAAGGAAAGGAAGCAGCAAACAGTGGATGAAGCAAGGTAAAGAGTGCTGTGGGCTTGCCTCCGTGGCCAGGTGACCTGGGTCATCAAACAAGGCACTTCTCTGGACCCCACGCTGCTCCGCCACGAGATAAAAATAACCGTGTCTTGTCAGCTACGTAGAATACTCGGGAGGCTAGAAGGAGATCATGGAGGTGGGAAAGACTTTTTAAAAAGTCTGTAGCTTTGTCCACTCTGAGCAATTTTTGTTAGCATGCTTTGGGTTGGAAAGACAGGGAGAAATTGTTTTGTCTCCTTCATCTGGAACTTTGAATCATAAAACAGCTAAGTCAGCAGCTTTGGGGCACACCTAGGGGAGGAGCCCTGGATCCCTGCCTCTTGTCCTAGCTGTTAACCATCAGCCCATTGCTCTAGAGTAAAATATATCACACAGATGGGGCCTGGAAAGCCAAACCGGAGGGCCATGTGTCACTCTCTGTAGCCACTTCGCTCCAGACCCCAAGGACTTTAACTCGTGCTCTCTCCTCAGGCCTGACCTTCAGAAGCCGGCTCGGAAAGGAGGCCTTGAGGCCTGACTGCTTCTGGGAAATGCTTACTGGCATGTAGTTGAGCCTAGCTGTCTGTTAGGGGACGTGTTCACACTGTGCTTTGAAGATGAAGCCTGGGTTGGGAGAGGTAAAGTGCATGGTCCAAGGTCCAGAACTCCTGTCTGACTAAGCCCATTGTCCTCGTGGGTACTAGAAGTGAGATCTTGCATGGCCATGGCGATGTTAAGAACTTAGCTATAGATTAAGCTGGTCCAGAGGGGTAGGCCCACCAAGCCTCACTCTCTAAAGCATTTACCCCCTAGTAAGGTTTTAGAACTCTCTCTCTCTCTCTCTCTCTCTCCCTCTCTCTCCCTCCCTCTTTCCCTCCCCCCTTCCTCCCTCTCCCTCCCTCCTCTTCCTCTTCTCCCTCTCCCTCTCTCCCTCTCTGTCTCTGTCTCTCTCTGTCTCTGTCTCTCTCTGTCTCTGTCTCTCTGTCTCTGTCTCTCTCTCTTGGTGTGTGTGTATATGTGAGTGTATGCGTGTGTGTCAATATGTCTCTATAACCCAGTAACTACAGTGGGACACCAGCAGTGACAGATTGAATAGTGAGCCTGTCAGGTTTTGCCTTCTCGCATCCACGCTTAGCTAGTCTACTCCAGGGCACTTCCACAGGGGCCTGCCAGACCCAGGATGAATCTTCACAATCCCCCATAGCAAAGCTTTCCCACGAGTACCACACCCACCGCTTACCTCAGCCTTGCTGAGGCATTGTGGGGGAGACAGCCACGGCTTCCTCGAAAGGATCATGGTTCCTCGTGTCTTCTTTGAACAACTATGGTAGGTCCCAGAAGGGATGGCCTCTTGGTCTATGGTAAGGGTGGGTCACAGAAGAAAAGGTCACAGGGCAGAAGAGGACCATCTAGGCTCTCCGAAGCTGTGTGGGTGGTCTTTCCGAACCCCTTTTCTATCTGCCACAGTGGGAATACTGGCCTCAGAGCCCCCGTAATGTAAAGATCTCAGTGCTAGGATCGATACTCTAAATGGGTGTTTCTAGTGAAGTACTCTGTTCTTTGATGGAAGCAGATGTGCCCCATGGGCCTTACCTGCAGCTCTTCCCCCGCTTCCCCAGGTAGCTGCACCTCTTACAACAGTGTGCTAGGACTACCCCAGGGTCTTCTTGTTCCAACTTGGAACTTCGGGGACCTACATAAGTTCACATTCCTCTCTGGCCTCCCCACCTGTGGCGTGGGGAGCAGGGAGGCTGCTGGTGTGAGCTCTGGGAAGTCTGGCTCCTTGGTTGTAAGAGATTTAGGCCCGTAGGCTAGCCTATTCTGACCTATATTAGTCACAAAGACCTGATTCTTTTTCTGTGACCAGTCTAGGCTGCCCTGGAGGAGGAAGTGCAGACTACTGCCTAGCTGGCTCTTATGCTTCTCTCTTTCAGGAGAAAAATCTCATGGCCTCTCTAGGCCTTTGGCAGCAGCCAGGGGGATGCAATCCTGGCACTTGTTATTCTGAGGGGGCAGCTAGATGCAGTAGGGCAGACAAGGATCCTCTTTGGGATTCTATGTGCTGAATCTAGGGTGCCTCTCTCTGGAGCTGGATTTGTTCTTCAGCAGGGTGATAGTCACAGTCCTGGGACACGGGGAAAAAAAAACATAAAACAAAACAAAAAACATGGTCATAGAAGTTTAGAGCTCAGGGTATTGAGATGCCCTGGAGCATTCTTGGCAAGTGGTGGTTTGGTATGGATTTTGTTGCATCCAGACAAAGGGAAAAGATTCAGCTATCCCTGTGACATGACTAGACTTGGCTAGACAGCGGCAGTCTGTGGAAACAGACCAGTGTGTCTCATCTGACGTCTACCGAATCAGACGAGCCTTGTCCAGCGAGCTTCTTCTGACGGAGAGTCTAGGAGCTCACAGTTGGAAGGGCTGTGGGACGGGCTTAGAGCAGCTCTCCTACACGGACCTGAGAGCCTGAAATATCCAAGCACAGTTAACCCTGCTACCTCCACGCCACTTCTCCAAACACTTGTGCACATAAGTTTGTCAGGGGAACAGCTCTGGACAAAAAGCGGAGCTAGTAGTTTGGGGCAAGACTGCCCTCGTTGGGTCCTGAGTGATAAGCAGAGCATACGTGGTCAGCATAGTTGGGAGCAAATGAGATTCAGGCAGACGTGGGGTGACATGAGCCAGGAGTGGGTACTCATCCTCATGACTGGATCAGACTCAGAGGCAGGGCAGGTCCTGCTGGTGTAAAAAATAAAAGTGAATTCTCTCTTCACTTTATGTCAACAAGAAGGCAAGAGCCCAGCCCTGGAGAGCTCATACATGAAGGGGACTCAGGCACAAGGGGATTGGGAACTAGGGTCCCAGGTCTGAAGAGAAGAATCACCCCCTCCCCCCCATTGGGCTGGGAGTTGGGCTAGCAGTCTGACTGTTGATTTCCTTGAACGGTAAACCTAGTGCTTCTAAAGCCTTTTTCCTTGCTGAAAATGAGATTTACTTGGTGCTGAACCTAAGGCAAGACAAAGTCTTTCCGGGGCCCACATGGAATCCAAGACAGACTAGGAGAAGGGGAAGAAGAAGAAAACCAAGGGGGTCTCTAAGCGCCCCAACTCCTCCCTGGTTTCCTGCCACCTCCCTGAGTATCAGTCACCTCATGTGTTACATAGTGGCATTAGATCACAGCAGAGGTATCCAGTCTGTGTTCTGCGAAGTCCAGAGACCCCCAAGCAGGGGTCCACAGGCTCCATGGGAAACTCATACAGGCGGAACAGAACCTTGATCCACAGGAGCCTGGAGCAGTTCTGCTTTTAAGTTTAGTGTGTTGGGTTTCCCTATAAGATTTTACTTGGAAGTCCTAGTAAGAGGGAAAAAAAATAAAAAGGTAAGAACAAAAGCCAAGGAGGACAGGAGGTTGGAGCATCTCCAGCCCATTCCAGGCCGCTGTTTCCTGACTCACCCTGGTGTTCTCCTCCGCACACTTTCGAGAACCATTTCTCTTCCTTTCTGCCATCATCTCAAGGAAGAATCCATACGTAAGCCCAGAAAAAGCAGCTGCTTAGATCACATTTCCCAGTGCTGAAGCGTGCTGGCTCACAGAGTAGAAAATTGGGGGTTTTTGTGGGCTGAGCGGGAGGAGCTCTGAGGCCCCGTGGCTGTAAATCAGGCTTGGAGGTTTGGATTCCCAGCAGTGTGACCTTCAGACACCCTCCTCTCCCCCCAATACCTTCACGCTCACACCCAGGCACGGGGAAGCTTGCCCAGCTCCTAGCTGCCCCTGGAAGCCAGGCCCACTTGGAAGAGCTGTTTTGATTTTTCAGGAAAAGCTGCTCATAGCCAAACCTCCCTCCCAAGAACAACACCGGCAGGGATTTCCTACGTGCTTGAAGGAGGAAGACTCTGGAAGACTGTTAGCCATTGCCCGGCCCAAAAGGCCTGTACATAACATCCCCATCAGAAGTAGTGAGGGCCATATATAACTCTATTTGTGTTTCCCTAAATATTTCCCGCTGCTGCCAGCCTCTGGTCTTCATGGCATAGACAGCCCTGCTCTCCCATTGCCTGCTCCAGGTGGCACTTCTCTCAATGCCCACAAACACAGGAATTCCACAAGCTTGGGGAACTGGCACACCAGAGGAACTGAAGGTTTCCATTGCACTCACAGAATTACCCTATCCAGAGAGTGCATCTCTCTCACAGGGAAGGAGTTGGCTGAAGCTACCATCGTGTGGGAGTGTTGCTATGGGCATCAAGGGTGTCCCAGCCTAGACTCTCCGGCTATGTGGTCTCCAGGAATCACTTCCTTCTTATTGGCTGATTTGAAGAAAAGGACTCCTCCAATCAGGCAGTTCAGGCCTGGAGAGATGGCTCAGCGTTTATGAGTACTGACTGTTTTTCCAGAGAACCTAGGTTCAATTCCCGGTACCCATATGACGATTCACAACTGTCTGTGACTCCAGGATCTAATCAGCCAGTTTGTATTAAGGATTTTTCTTGACCAAGGTCTTGGGGTTTGTTTGTTTGTTTGTTTGTTTGTTTCATTTTGTTGTTGTTGCTGTTGTTCATTTTGGTTTTGGTTTTTGGTTTTTGATTTTTCGAGGCAGGGTTTCTCTGTAGCTTTGGAGTCTACCCTGGAACTAGCTTTTGTAGACCAGGCTGGCCTCGAACTCACAGAGATCTGCCTGTATCTGCTGCCCAAGTGCTGGGATTAAAGGGATGCACCGCCATTGCCTGGGTGACCAAGGTGAAGGAAACATGGAATTTCCATTTCCCAGTAGAAAATGATTCTGGAGGTCACTAAAACATCCATTGTCTCTCTGTAGTGGCGGCACACACCTTTAACCCCAGTCCTTGGAACAGAGAGGCAGACAGATCTCTGAGTTCAAAGCCAGCCTGATCTAACAGAGTGAGTTCTAGGAGAGCCAGAACTACACAAAGAAAACCTGTCTTAAACAAATAAACAAACAAACAAAAAATCCATTGTCAAAGCCAGTCTTGCTTCTGG